TGAAATAAATAAAGACTGCAAGGGGAAGGAAGATTATGCCAAAAACAACATTGAGGTTGAATTCTTGGAGAAGGTTGTTTCTCCTACAAAAGACATCAATGGGAAGGCTTGCTTGCGAACACTTGTAAATCCTGAGGGATTACTTGCGAACTCAAGTATACCCTATCATAAATCTGACTTCAAACTTCAGAAGGAGCTGAAATCCTTAGGAAAGGATAATATTATTTCTCATGGTAGAAAAGGAGGTGGATTTGTTAAAGCTAGGAAAGGGAGTAATCCCTATTCTTATCAATCATGACTTCCTTAATTTTTTGGAATTGTAGGGGGGATAGAAAAAAGGAAGCCTCCGACTACTTGAAGGAATGTATTAAAGATAATGATTTGATCTTTGTTGGGTTATCTGAAACAAAGATATCCTCCTTTGATAGAAAGGATTGTGATAAGTTCATAGGAAAGCTTTAGGATTTTTATTTATTTCCTGCAGAAGGGCTATCAGGTGGACTTATGGTTTGTTGGAGGAAGGACCTTGCTTCTTTCTCTACCTTGGTGACTTATTCTCAAGCCATTGTAGGTGAATTAAACATTTATAATAAAGGGATCTGGATTATATCATCAATATATGGAAGTAATGATTTATACAAAAGGAAGAGTTTATGGAACACTCTTGAAGGCATTTCCAATTCTGATTTACCCATAATCATAGGAGGTGACTTCAACTGCCTTTTATCCCAAAAGGACAAGCAAGGAGGAAAAAAATTCAAATTCTCTCAAGGTGTTCAAGATTCGAGTAATTTTATTAGTTCATGTGATATTCATGAATTGAAATTCATTGGACCAAGGTACACTTGGTGTAAGAACAAGACAGGGGGAGCTAGGATTATGGAAAGATTGGATAAATGTTTGTTGAATTCGGTCGCTTTACAAACAATTCAAAATCATGTTATTAAACATCTTACAAGGCTAGCTTCTGATCACTGCCCCATTTTAGTTAATCTACTTAATCCAGCTGCTCGGAAAAACTGGTTTATTAGATATGAAGAAGTGTGGTCTTATTGTGCTGCTTCAACAGGTATTGTCAAAAACTCATGGAGAAAGAGTATGATAGGTGATCCAGCTATCTCTTTGAATAAGAAATTTAAAAGAGTTTTAAAATCTCTTTATTACAGGAGTAAAAGCAAACATCAGGATTTGATGTTGCTGAAAGAAAAACTGAAGAAGGAAATTTTGGAAATGCAGTTTGAAGAAGCAGAATTAGGTGGCTTGCCCGAATATATGTTACAGTTGCTGAAATCTAAAGTTCATGAATTAAATATTACCTTATCACAGTTGAACATGTGGTGGAGGCAAAGAGCAAAAACAAAATGGTTGGTGGATAGTGATTCAAACACTAAGTTTTTCCACACTTATGCTTCAGGTAGACGGAATACTAACTGGATTCATCAGATTAAAGGTGAAGATGGGGGAATAACTGCTGATCAAAACGAAATTGAAAATGTCTTTTTCAGTTTTTTTCAAAAACAAATGGGAGGAGAAGGTTTGCTGTCTATTTGGTTGGCCAAAGCCTTTTAATGTGCTTAATGAATTAGATAGACAATTTCTTTTAAATAATTTCAAGGAAGAAGAGCTAGAAGATGTGGTTAAACATCTTGAATCCAATATTTCTCCAGGTATTGATGGGATCTCTTATTCCTTCATCAGAACTTTTTGGTTTATCATTAAAAATGATGTTTGGAAGGCTATTCACTCATTTTTTGATCTAAGAATTATGAATCCTGGTTGGAAGGAGAACTTGATAGTTCTAATTCCAAAAATAGAGAACCCGATTTTACCTTCTAATTTTAGACCTAGAAGTCTCTGTTTATCTATCTATAAGTTGGTAGCCAAGATGTTATTAAACAGAATGTTAGTTCTTATTCCAAAACTGATTTCTGAAGATCAAGCTGCTTTTATTAAAGGCCGATCTAGTTCTGAACATATTCTGTTAGCCCAGGAAGTTTGTAACAAGTTTAGATTCACAAAATCTAAAAAAGGGCTTATGGCTATTAAAATCGACATGGAACAAGCTTATGACAGTATGGGTTGGTCAACTCTTACTCAGGTCTTGAAGAATTTGGGTTTTCCAGATAAGTTTGCTAACTTCCTTATTCAAAGTGTTTCTGATACAAAAATTTCTATTATCATTAAGGGTAATAATTCGGATTGGATTAAAGCTAAAAGGGGGTTTAGGCAAGGCTTCCCACTCTCTCCATTTCTTTTCATATTATGCTCCCAACTTCTTTCTGATGTGGTTATGCAGAATGGAAAGGAATTGGGTATTAAAATAGCTGCAAATGTTGAGAAAAATTCTCATATATTATATGTTGATGACATAGTTTTATTCTTGGAAGCTAATGGGAGTAGTGTTAAGAAAGCTAAAGAAATTTTGGAACATTACTGTAATTGGACCGGGCAAAGAATCAATATTCATAAATCTTCCATTCTTTTTTGGAAAGTCGGTTAATTCCTGAAATTCAAAGTGGTTCAAGAACTTAAATATCTTGGGATCAATATTGTGTTGAGAAGGACTTCTAGAATGGATTTCTATCATCTACTGGACAAAGCTAATAACTATATGAATGTTTGGGGTAACAAATACATTTCATTAGTTGTGAAGATTCTTCTTGTCAAATCTATTTTTTCTTCCTTCCCCATCTATCACATTACTTACTCTTTAGTTCCTTTGGGTATACTCAAGGAACTAGATAGAAGGTGTAGGGATTTTTTGTGGAACAAACATGATGGTAATAAAGGACTACATTATGTTTCATGGGATGTACTTTGCAGGCCAATTAGTATGGGAGGGCAAGGTATCCATTCTATGGTTTCTAAAGTTGGTCCACTTCGAGCAAAGTTTGCATTGAAACTCATTTCAGGTTCATCTTATACTCTCAACAGAGTCTTGGTTGCTAAGTATGGTAATCAACCTTGGAACATTCAGCTTAAATATCAAAGTTCTCCTACGATCAAAATTATTGTTAATGGATTTCAAGCTCTTAAAGATATCTTAAGGTGGTAGGTGTCTAAGGGCAACAATATCAATATCTTGCAAGATGTTTGGATTTTTGACAAATCAATTTCAAAATGGCCTAACTATGTAGCAGATATGGGACAAGATATCCAAAATATGGATTTCTTTGTCAATGAAGCAGAATGGGATGCTGATAAATTGAAGCTCTTCTTTGGACCAGATTTGATTGAAATCATTAACAAGGTCCATATTCTTCCTTATTTAAATGAGGATCAATTAGAACTCAAATTCAAGTTCTGATGTAAATCAATTTCAGCTTTAATTTCTGAAAAATCTGGAACTTATGGAAGTGAAGATCCAACATGGAAATGGAGGAAAAATCTGAAGCTTAGACCCCGAGTAAACCTTTTTTGGGGGAGACTTGGCATCAATGCTTTACCATCAAATGTTTTTTTGAAACACATAAATCTGTCAAGGATTGAAGAATGCCCGAGAGGTTGCAAATCTGTGGAAAATGAATTCCATATTGCGGTTAATTGTCAAAAGTTTATACAGATTTTCAATGTTATTAGAAGCTGGGGATTCTCTGTTTCTGTATTTAAATCCATTGAAGATTGTTTTAAAGCTTTAAATTTAATGGCCATTAATGATCCTTTTATTGGTAACATTTACTGTTCAGCGGTTTTTTTAAATTGGATCAATAGGAACAATGTGACTCATGGAGGAAAGGAAGATAGCACCTCTTTCATAGCAGCCAATTCTATCAGCATGGCTGAAGCATCTTTCAAAAAAAATTCGTAATACTGGGAAACTAACCAGCTCTCACAGCTGACATTTCATTGGTTTCCTCCTCCAACCGAATGGATTAAATTGAATATAGATGCCTCTGTCAAAAGCAATTACAATGCTGGTATTGGCGGTGCCTTCCGAGATCATAGAGGAAGGCTACTATGTGCATTCGGTATTAAGTGTAAGCACTAGGATCCAGCTCAAATGGAGATGTATGCTATCTTATCTATAAATTCTTTTATTCTTCAAGAGAGATATGATTACAAAGGAATCATCATAGAAGGTAACAATAAAAATATTATATATTTTTTCAATAAAATCTTTAATATGCAACTAGGTTATGAGGAAGACTTTGGCAATTTGGACTTCTCTTTTCTTTCGGAGTTCAATCAGGTTCTTTTCCACTTTGTTAATAAAAATAGCAATAAATTAGCGAATTTTTGTGCTAATTATGCTTGCTCCTTTGATTTGTTTTGAGATGATCTCAGTAGTAATAAGATTCCTCCTACTTTTATTTCGTTACTCAAGGAGGACTGTGATTGTGAAGCAATCACTTAGTTTATTGTACTTGTCTTTTTTTTTAATAAATTTTGCTCTATGCATTCCATCAAAAAAAAAAAAACACAAGACGATTTGAGATTGAAAAAGATTGTGAAGAAAACTCAACGGATTTTAATGTTAATTGGTACATCACTTAATTCATAAACTTTCTAACATATCATAATATTCTATAAGGGGTTGAGGCCATCTCCAACCGAAAAATCCATTTTCCACTATAAAATATAGTAAAACTTTAAAATGTCATAATTCATATCCAATCGAACTGCAGTTCTTTCTTCTTTTACGCGTTTCCTGCGAAGGTAACAAATTCTCTCCTCTTTTGCGCGCTTTTCTTTTCACGCTCTTCTTCCGCAAATTCGGCAACACAATATTAACATCGAACTGTTCACCTACAGAATTTTAGCATGAGATTTGAATTTCGAATGCAGTGAATGACGGATGGCATATGGTGGTATGCAATTCGGTTGGAGTTGGTCTGAAACCAGATTAAATACAAACCCCAGAATAATAATGCGGCCATCCAATTGAGGGTTGCCAAAAAAACCATTATGAAGATGTAAACATTGATGCGGCCATCGTCATAATCTAGGTAGAAGTCATTATGAAATTGTTACTCTTTCCTTTCAGATTCAACTTTTGACACTAGAGCTACAGATAAAAATATTTATTTAATGAAGCCAAAATATGATCCGGATAAGTAAATGATTATACATTAATGTTTAAAATAAGCTATAAAAGAGGACTAACAAGTACTCAAATCTCACATGATCCTGCCTCAGAGCGACCAAATACCACATAGCGGTTGTTAGCAATGTTATCATAAGTAAAATCCCTCAAAAACCTACAAAAGATCATGACATCTGACCATTATTAAAATTTCTTTGCATCTGTAATCCATAAACAAAGCTTTTCTTGAGAAAGAACTTACAAAGGGAACAGCTTAAGCAATGATGCAAGTTGAGGAAAAGGCAAGTCAAGATACTCCATTATCTTTATCACTGCTTCTGACTTGATGTATGATCTGCGATGTAAAATTAGGAACAATAATAATGCCAGTTTTTCAACCATGATGGTATAATTATAATAATTACCTATCTTGTTCGACTAAAACCACGCTGGAAATATCATCAGGAGATCTCCCTGACCTCTGTAAAAGCTTTCTTCCACCCTCACTCTGGAGTGGTTCAAATCTTATTTTTCTGCTCAATATAACAAGCAAGAATTAAACATAACATAAACATAGCACATTTCTTTTCTATTTGGATCAATGATATTAGTTTGAGATGATCATTATATCAGATTTTCATGAAATTAATATGTTTAACAGGTAAATTGGCTATTAGATGGCAATTACAAATAATTAGGATATATATTAAGTATGAGTGGATTAGTGGACCTTTTGTGGAGATCTCAAGTAATAGAATTTGGACGTCAGCTAATTGGTGACGAAGCACTATACATCGATTTTCCCCTGCCAATTTTTACATTTCCACATTTAAAATTCTTGCAAATATTAACTTGCTTCCTTAGCCATAAAATTTTATTTATTAACATTTCTCAGTTCATACACTTAAAACATGTTTTCAACATTCCAACTTGAAAAAAAAACCAATTCATCTCCCACCCGCCACGCCCCCAAAAGAAAAGTTTCCTTATAGCATTTAAGTGGTATCAAAGCACACTAAAAGAAAGCATACAATTGCCTAAGACTTCTCTATTGAATGTGTCACCATATGATGACTATATAAAGAAAATATACCACTCAAAAGTGACATTGAAGGGATACTATTACACGAAGTCACACTAAGTATGTTTTGTTGCTCGTTGTTGTTGTTTAGAGGTATTATTTAAAATATGTTGCCTTTTTTATGATTAGTAATAGAGGAACATATGTATGTCACTTACGAGGAGAACCATTGTCAACTTTTCATTGATAGAGGCAGTGTGATGAATGTATTATTGAAAACCAATTTGCTTCAGCCTGACATATTCCTTAGAGCCTTACCCCCTAAATCAATTAGACATCTTTGTATATGAACTTATGTTGTCTTGTACCTACTACCTATCTAAATGGCTCGCTATAAATGTATTTACAATGAATTTAGTTTGAATCCTTTTGGGTCACCCATAGCTTTATGATATGAATGTTAACCATTATATTTGTAGAAACAAACAAGTTTTTAGTGTAATCGGCCAATATCATTGTTTTCTTTTTGCAAACCATCTATGACTTCATCTTGACATCTTTAGAAACCAAATTCTACAATTCGAGCTGGCCCTGACCAATTTCAGTAGATTTTTCCTTCAAGTACACGACGTAATAACACTCAATATCACTCTCTTTGATTAGTAACAAAGATTTTTTAGCTGGTTCATACTAGCTTTTCAGTCCTCTTGATGCTGGAGACTTGTGAGCCTACACCTCCCATATCATAGAGCAACATACATATTATGGTTTACTAACTATTGTTTGAGATCCAGGACCTCATAGCAAAGCTCCATACTTCCCTTATGTTAATTCAAGATATACCGAATACTATAAATTTTATTTAGAATTCTTAGTAATTCAATCACCCATATTATCAAATAAACCATAATGAGAATGCTATGCTCTAATAACAGGTTGAGGATCTCCAATCTAGAAGCTTTCTTTGTGGGATTTTCAATCTTTGTGCTTTCCCTACATTGTTGAGCAAAAGAATAATGCTTGATACATGTGTGTTAATAGTAGTGTGATTAATAAAATCAATGTAACATGAAATTCCCATCCATGCCTAGATGATCTACTTGACATGATCTCAAAAAATTTCTATTTCACGACGATTACTCTACGAAGCAAGTACCATCAGATCAAAATTCATCCTAATGATAAGGAAGCATTTCAAGACACTTAATTGTCTTTTAGTAGTTGGTCTTTCTTCCTTTTTTTTTTTTTTGTCAATTGCACACAACACCTTTATAAGAATAATGAAGAAGATGCTTCAACACAATCATAGGGTGATTCCTTATTATATGCTTTGATGATAACCTCTTCTACAGCTTGACAAAGACCACTATCTTCATCATCTTCAAGTTCTGCCAAAAAAATGAGAATGTATACATTAATCTAAGAAACTACACATTTTAGCTGCCTCATATCATCTTTCTATGTTTTGCGGTGTTCCCTAGACATTTAGAGAAAGATCTCATAGAGTTCCAAGCTATTGTTTACTAGATAAATCCCATAAACTTCTCTAATGTTTGGAGTTTACATGAATTGACTACCTTATACCAGTTGTTCATAAAAAATTTTAGTGTTATCATTGTTCCACTTCCTAATCTACACAAGATAGTTTTACCTAAACATTATTCTTGATAAGGCCATAATAGATATAAGGATCCTGATGATAGCATCTCTTATTATATGCCTCCCAAATTTTAGAACATTTATGAAGTATTTTGTGATGGCTTAGGCTAGAGCATATGTGGGTGTTCTTGATTAGAAAGGACATTTGGATATAAGAGACACATACCTCTAGAATACTGAGATACTTAGGCGCAGTTAAGACTCCCAATAATTTGAAGCACTATATGTATTTGCAAAAAAATGGTTCTAGATGTGCAAATTAATTTTAAAGGATTGTATACTCTGCTGTACATCGAAGCCTTCATACTGGAAGATATGTTTGTGCATTCCTTGGTTTGTACCTATTGAGCATCAAAATCTATTTTAATGAACCTCACATAAAATCTACCGGAGGCATAATGATGATTTAATTAGTTATAATTGTAGGACATTTCTATAAGATGGTGTGCTTAATTCCCTAAAAAAAGATAACCATTAGAGGAGAGGTTATAAAGCTTATTTTCTAGCATATTTAGAAGTACTTCAAGTTGGCCTTACCAATTATTTCTAATAAGGGCAATTGATTTCTCAGTGATTTTTAGAAGGCTCATTGGTTTTTAATGGACACCAAACTGAAGAAAAGCATTTCCTTCCTTCCATAAATACATGAGCACAAACAAAGATGGTAAAACAAATAATGGTCTGTTTGCTAAAAAGCTATAATTTGGGGTATCCATAAAATTAGGATGAAAATTTTTCGTAAATGCAATTATCCTATAATCATGCCATCTATAGGTCAAAATCAACATCATATTTTGATGTGTGCTTGGGATATCAATTATGGAGCTTATTTGATATGAAGTTTTTAATTAGCACCAAAGAGAATAGTAATGGAAAAGAGCGAGAGTTAATACTAACACCAAGATTCCTGGAGTGTATTACAAGATCTACCTAGAGGAAGAAGAATACCTAAAGTTGAGGGTGTGATTCCTACAATTGAGGATATAAGCATCCATTCTGAACACCCACAGTAAGAAGGTTGCATTATGGGCATAAACCCACCATAGTGTGTGGTTAGTTATAAAAGGCCTTCAACATTAGCAAAAGGTGAAAGACTCCAAGGCAAGCCAAATGATATTTAAAGGAAGGTGTCAAATTCTTTCTTCATCTATTACTTTACCAAAGAGAAAATGAAGCCAAATGGGATTGGATTCATGAACTAGGTGAAACTAAACTTGGCAACCAGATGGCCAAAAATTGAATAAAGTTAGGGCGACGACAGTCAACCTAATATATAGAAAAGTAAGTCCTCTTAGACCGACTATTGGACCTTGAAGGAGATCAATTAGTATGTTCAGCCTATTTTAAGATAAAATTTTATTTTATTTTAATTTTATCATCAATTCCTAAAATTTTGGCAAAATAAGTGATTAATCTTTGTACTTATGATGCACCTAGAAAATATTTAGAATAATTGATTAGTCTTGAAAACTTTAAGAGAATATTCTCTCAATAATTTAGGAAATAATTTAGACCCTCGAATTTTAGATGATGTCCTCTCCTTGATTTTTGCATTTAGCTAGGATTTTGATTATTTTTCTATAATAAAAAAAGATATATTCCAATCAATCAAAAAATAAATTTCAATTTTATGAAGTTCTAAATTTTAGATCTCTCCCCTTCTCTCCTCATCATCCCTCCTATCCCTCTTGGTCAGTAGCTGTGAGGCCCTCCTCTCTCTCTCTCTCTCTCTCTCTCTCTCTCTCTCTCTCTCTCTCTCTCTCTCTCTTAGTTGGTAGCTCTAAGGCCAAACCATATTAGTTCATCCCCCCTTATCTCTCTCTCTATAACTCATTTACTCTATAGATAAGAATCAAAGGCATAGAATACTTGAAAACAACCACATGTAATCAGTCGCCACTTCAGAGAGTCCCAATTTTCGAAATATGTTACAAAATATGTAAATTACTTGGATATTATGCTGTCATTAGAGACAGATTTTTGCAATAAGAAATAAAGGAAATGAAGGGAACACCTATAAGCTTTTTCCACTAACACTTGGATCATTTGACCAACTCTAGTTAGTTGACTCCTAGATTAGTTTCTTTCCAGCAATATTCTACCACAATCCTCTCTCCTCACCACTAAACTCTCTCCTTTTCTATTTCAAATTAACCTTGCTTCCTTCCAAAAGAATTGGGAAATATTGGAGACCATGGGCACAGTTTGTTACATGAAGAGCTTGGAGAGAACGATGCCATGAAGATGAAGATTGCTTGAATCTTGGTTTATGGGATGTATTTAAAATTCATGCGAAGTATTTTTAGGTCGTCAATTTTCACATGATTTTGAATGTTTTGACAACCATATTCAATCATCTCCTTCTTTCTCCCCTCAACCATTAAGTACTCCTTTTCTTGCACTAAAGAACTAGTAACTAAATACCAATTAGCAAACACGGACAAATTTAATTGTTTCTAAAGACAGAAATCTATTTATAAACATCAAAACTATATGGACGTTTCAATTAACATACACCAGTCGCAGGCCAGTGTTCTTTGTTGAAAATTAATATAAAAATAAATGTAAACTATGGCAAACCAAATCAACGAACCTTTTGATTAGAAACAAAATAATATATAGAAATGACCACAGAACCTGTTGCGGTCGTTGGCTCTGACGAACCGGACACCCCCGTTGCACAGGTTACACACGCCTAACACAAATTAGAGGAATGATTGAAATCTCAGTGAGGAAAACAAATAAACAGACTGTCGGCAGTAATGCTGCGGGAACGAACATAGCTTTACCATCGAAGAGCATGATAGGTCTAGTGTCGCCTTTGAAGAACTCCGCGCCGGTGTTAACCAAGTCGGCAGCGGACAGCGACGGCATCGGAACGGCGCAAGCAATACGGCCGTGCTTGAAGCGCGTTGAAAGGGCTGCGGGTGTGATAAGTGGTTTCGACCCAGTCGGAAGGAGAAGAGCCATCGAAGCCTCGTGTAGACGCGTAACAAGAGAAGAAGGGCCTTCTCACGGCTTAGTTGAGGCTCCTAGTTTCTTGTTTCTGCATATGACCGATGCTTCGACCGAAGGTTATCTTCAAACAATGCTAAAAATTAAGGTTATTTGGGTAACAAGTAATTTATTTGAGCTATAAGAGAAGGTCTGGTTTTTTCTATAGAGAGAAATTGGAATTTTTAAAATTTTGTTGAGAATTCTTAAGTGGAAATCTGGATGGCGGCCGAAGTTCGTCGGACTACCTTGACTGGCGGTCCTGGCGATGCTCGATGACCATCATCTGGTAGTGCTTCGATACCTGCCCGATCATCATCTGGTCTACAGCAATGCAATTCCAACAAATCATTTCTTGAATTGCAGAAGGATGCAAGAGAATTTGGCATGTCCAAGAGGATGTAATGCGGTGGAGGATATAGATCATGTTATAACTAAATGTGGAAAGCTAATGGAAATCATTGGTCTGATTAACTGTTCGGGATTTCAAATTCTGACTTTTATAAATTTCGAAGATTGTTGTAACTGGTTAAACAAATCCTCAAATGATAACAGTTTCTTAACTAAATTGTTTTGTAATACAGCTTATTTATCTCGGAAGGCAAGGAACAAATTCATACATGAGGGTCACATAGAAAGTTCAAAGTTCATTTCTGTTCAAGCAATTTCTTGGTCTTCGTTCTCTTCTTCTTATGACAACATAAGCTCAGACCACTGAGGTGTTAACCAGTCACTTCGACTGTTAAATCGTTGGCACCCTCCTCCACCCAAATGGATCAAAGTGAATGTAGATGCATCTTTACTTCCTTCTTACAAGGCGGGCATTGGAGGAATATTCCGAGATAGTCATGGTAAATTCTTGATGGCTTATGGAAAGAAGTGCATTCATTGGGATATCTCATAACTAGAGCTCTCATCAATTCATCTATTAAAAGAAGTTGTCAAAGATTGGATGTTGCAATATAAGGGGATTATCATCGAAGGTGATAATTCTAATTTTATTCAGTATCTTCGACAAATATTCAAATTGGGAGGTCAAGTGATGGAAAATTTTGTTTTTCTAAAAGAATTCGATGATGTTATTTTCAATTGTGTTGATAGAAATAGCAATAAGTTAGCTGATCTTTGTGCTAATTATGCTATCTTTAGTGATTTCATTTGGGAATATATTAGTTCTAATAAGGTTCAACCTTCTTTTATTATTTTGTTAAAGGAGGAACTAGTTCGGTGTAATCCCTAGGATGTATTTGAGTTTTCCTTTTTATTTATTGCAATAAAAGTTTTTATTGTTCTTTAAAAAAAACTAAAAATTAGACGCAAAAGTTTTCCTCGGTAAATACGACCCACGCCATGTCTATGGTTTTCTTGACTGAAAATTAATGGGTTTTGCTTACTTTGGAAAAATATGACAAATAGTAAATTTGGAGACTGTTTGTTAATGAGTTTTATAATCATTTGACAAGTTGCACTTGTGATAGGATGGTTTGGCACCCGAAGTATGTACTGTGATACTCTGTGTATGTGTGGATTGCCATCGTAGGGGCCTGAAAATTGCTGAAGCATTGCTAAAACGAAATATTCATGTTTTGCCTACTTGCAGTCTGTGCTATGCTCATTTAGAAAGTGCTTCTCACTTGTTTTTTTTTTAATGCTCCTACTCATTCTCAATATTATCTACTTTAATGTCTAGTACTAGAGGTCTTCTTCTTAGGCCCACTATTCTGCAATTTTTTGAATGGATTGATGGAGATTCCAATGTGCAGCAATCGGTTAAAAATCTACATCTGTTGATTACGTGTTGCACCATTTACTATATTTGAAAACAGATCAAGAAGCGATTGGAGATTTGGGAATATCATACATAGATTCTCCACCATAACTCTTAGTATCAAAAAATCGATTTTGGAGAAACTTATTAAGTGGAAGCACTCTTTCAAATGTTTTGATATGCTTTAATTTGGGCTTGATGTTTTAAGTTGCTCCCTCTAGCATATTTCAATTCTATGCCTTTTTTGTTCAAAAGCATGCTGGTGTTTATGCCTAGCCTTGGACAATGATGTGGCTCCTATTGCAGGCTCCCCTTGGATGGTTTTCGGAAAACTAGGGGTTTGAATTTTTCTCTAATTGGTTTGTTTTATCTCTTGAGTCTAGGTTGTTATTGGCTTCGGGAGCTATGTTTTTGTGCTTTTAGCCTCTTTATTATGTGTTACTTTTGAATTTTTTTGCTCGAATGTTTTTAGCAAGTTTTTGGGCTCTATTGAGCTAGCTCCTTTTTTTTTAGGGGATGTTTTTTTGCTTTCTTATTACTTGTATTCACCTTTTTTATTCCAATATACAGACTAAGCCCAAATTTCCCCCAATTTTTTTGGATTTGTCATACCTTGAGAGCCACATCTGTCTAATCTTTTAAGTATACTACCCTTGATTTTAATATTAATTATCATTTAATTTGTAAATATTTCTAACAGATACAAAATATCTTTATAACTAGTTAAATAAGCATGTCAATCTTAAATCTATCTCACCCTAACCATTAATAGATGTTTCCATGTGTCCAAATTGTATATAATAAACTCACATCATGGAGGCAGACATGTCTCTCCGTAGCTCCACAAATCCAAGAATTTCATAGGTTGAGATTAGGGGTGTTAGAATGGGTCAACGAGTCTGAATCGGGTCCAACCCAATAAGCAGGGTTCAAAAAGGTCAAACCAAACTCGACCCAATTTTGCAAACAAGTCTAGAATTCCAACCCAGACCTAACTTGAGCGTGATAGAAGGTTAAACTAACCCAACTCGTGAAGGTTTAATCCTTAGACTCATTTATGTCTCTGTATACACAATACACTTTCCGACATTATAGGCAGAGCAAAGCCCTTCAGGCTATAGTGCCTTGTGGGGCTACAGATTAGTGGCTCGTAGTAGACATGAACTTCTGTCACTCACGATAGATGAGAACACACCAACACCATCCAAGACATCAGAAGCCACACAAGAATTTGGATGCACGATGAGTGTAGGACTTTGAACCAAAACTAAACTCAAGCTCATATATGTGGTTCGTGGCCAGCCCGGATTGATTTCGAGTTGCCGAGTTAACTAGAACCCGACACGTATACAAATAGGTTGACCCAGGCCCTAATTTTTTTGGGTTGGGTTTGTGTCTGATCAAATATTAACACCCCTAATTAGGATTACTTTGGTTATGCAAGTAAAATGAGTCAAATTCGAGCGGAAAAAAAATTCAAGCACTACTTGTGAGATATAAAGCTGGACTGAACTCACGATCAACCTTGGCTTAGGCTCGACTTGAGCTCCAATTCGACTTGGATAATTTATAATTTGCTTGATCTCGACTCAAATTTAAGCTTATTTTAGTATTATTGCGTCCTGGAATATTCACGACGGTAGAAAAGTATAAAGTTTTAATGTCTTAGCATGCACAAAGATCAAGAACGCATACAGATGAAAGAGATAGTTTAGCATTCATAAGAGACTCATATTTTTACGTGGAAAATACTGAAAGGGGAAAAATATGGGGCTTGGCTTAGTTTGAATGAATCCACCATTATTTATAATCGATTACAAATGAGGCCCTTCCTTTGGGAAAGGTATTTGCTTGATGTAATAAATATACATCATATAATGCGCATTACATTATGGGACTTGAAAAAATCACTGTTGATATGTTTGTTGTTGAGAGAGTTGCTACTTAGCATTACATGATTTACATTCTTGCAACTTGTATGTTTTGATGATTTCAAATATTATTTTTTTTATTATTATCTTCTCCTAACATATTTTGAAAGAATTGTTTTTTCCTCTTGTGTGTACTAACTTTTTAGAAAAATCATACTCCATATTGTTAAAGACTTCAAGTCAAGATCTGCCTAGAATGTGTTGTAATATTGAAGTTTGTATTTTTTTTATTTGAATCTGAGAAAGAGTGTGATTGTAATTAAGTAACTTAACACACACACACACACACACCGGGGGAGAGTTAAAATTCATAATTTTTAAAACTGATCGTACAGTATGAACCATGTTCGTACGGGACGATTTGGTTAGTTAAAACTCTCGAATGAGTGAAAGAACGAATAGAGCGGGCCAAAATTTTTCCAAATACTATTCATCCAGATGATGTTTTTTGTTCATCCTAGGACGATGGGCTCTGGACTCGTTCGTTCAAATGATAATTATCATTCGTTCCAGGACAGTGATCTTTGGATGAGTTCATCCGGACAAAAATTATTGTTCATCCTAGGATGAAGGGCCCTGTATTCTCCAAAATGAAATATTCATCCAGACGATATTTTTTGTTCGACCCAGGACGATGGGCTCTGGACGCATTCATTCGAACGATATTTATCGTGTGTCCAAGGATGACGCTCTCTAGATGGGTTCGTCCATACGATAAATATAGTTCGTTCTAGGACAATGGACTCTAGATTGGCCAAAATGAACTATTCATCTAGACGATATTTATGGTTCATCCCAGGACGATCTTCTCTATTATGGAAACTTAAAATTCGTCCTGCATTTTTATACCAACACACTTTCGGAATAGATGTTCATACTGGACGAACTTAGTTCGTACGGGACTATTATCGGGTATGAAGGTAGTTCGTATTGATTCATATATTATTCATTTGTAACAGTTTTTACAATGTTCGTACATACGAAATTGGAACGTACGGGACGATCATGGATGGTTAGAAATTGAAATTTGCAATTTTTGGATGGTTTTTTGTGTCTTTTCTTTAAAAGGTCCAGTTTTGACTGTCTTAAAATCTTTTTTTCTTTTGGTCTTCGTAAATACTCAAGGGAGATTGAAGGAGAGAGTAAGAAAGAGTGTTTGAAGGAGAATTCTTACTACTAGAGCTTGAAGTGTTCACTTGGTTACTCAAAGGTAAGAATATCTATTTGTAATTTGTGATTACTTCACTCCTTTTCTCTTGTCCTTCTAGATTTCTTGTGAGAAGATCTTTCAAGGAGATCTGGTTCTCTACCGACATTCGAGGAGTGTGAACAGCCGAAGGGTTCTCTGCCTACACTTAGAGAGTGTGAACAACTAACGATTTTTTGCCGATACTTGGAGGGT